GAGGAGAAAGGTATTGCTGCCCTTCCCCGCGCCGGGCCCGGGCCCGCCGCTCCCGCCCTTACCTCAGCCTCACCTGGGAGGGGGGAGCGGCGGGTCCCGTCCCCTCATGGCTGCCGCCCGGGGGCTGAGGTGACCGTGAGGCGGGTGGTGGTGTGCTCCGTGCTCTCTGCCCTCACCCCGGGGCTCTCCCACCTGAAACGCCCCCAAAATCCCAGGGGACCCCGGGTGTGCGGGATTTTGGGGGTGCTTCTCCCCACCCCGCGGTTACCGCTGACTGGGTTCCCCCGTGAGGAGAGGGGCCCTGGGCTGAGGGGAGCTGTGGGGGATGTGTGTGGGGGGAACCAGCCCCTCTCCTGAGGGCTTCCCGCCCCCGAGTCACCTTGTGGAAGTCTTGCAGGCCGAAAAGTTAGGCACATGCCGTCAAAAACGTGCCTTTCCTTCTTTTAATTGCCTGTGTTTTCTGGGGGTAATGGTGGTTTATCGGTATCATTTGAGCTTAGCTCCTAGTGTGTGATCAGCCAGGGTGAAATGTTTGGGGTGCAGGGGCTCTTCTCCCTTCTCCCCCCATTATTTTTTTATTTTTTTTAAATTTTTTTAGGACCCCCACCCTGTGTAGTCTCAGTTTATGAAACCCCGAAGTCAAGCTCCAGAGCTAGCAAACTGTGGGGCTGAGCACTTTATGCAGAGACCTTGCCATTTTGGCACTTTATATCGATCACCTGGGGAGCTATGTAAAAATTAGCAGACAAACTCAGACAGTGGAAGTGTAGTATTTGCATCGGCTGGGAGGAAATGCTTCTTCCCTGGTGTCTTTACAAATAGTCTAGAAATATACAAGGAGGAGAAGAAGGAAAATAAAAACACACCAGTGGGTCATATTTTAAGTTTTCTTTCCTGTCTTCCATCACCCCTACAACTGTGTGTGTGTGTTTCAAGCCAAGGTGACAGAAGACCATTGCAAAGGATAGGATTCATCCTTTTTTGTCTGTGGCAGAAATCTGTGGCATGTTTCCGAGGAAAAAGTTGTTAAACCACAAATTGATCTCTCTCTAGGTTAGGTGCTTCTGTCAAACTCTTCTCAAAGAAGTGAGCTCTGTTGCGTACTCTTTTTCTTTGAAAACTGTCTTAGAAAGTGTGTTTCTTTAGGTAAGGTGAGGCAACAAATTTCTACCAGGTTTTTTAAATTTCTGTTTTCAAGAGAAAAGATACAGTTCAATCTTCTTGGGCATTACTTATGTGTGATCAACTGACTTCCTTTGTGCAAGTCCTTAAGATCATTACCTTCAAAACTGTTTCTGTGCTGGGGGCAGGTGGGGAAAGGTTTCTGGTAGGCTCTGGTGAGTATTCCCCTTGTCTCTTCCAGCTCTTGCTGCTGTCTGTGCGAATTCGTAGCCTCGCACCCTTGGTAAGGAGGGTGGGCTGGAGGGGCTGGAGGGTAAGCTAGAAACCTGAGATGCAGGCATGCTTTTGTTGTCTTAGTCAGCTGTGAGGATGGCGGTCCTCACCAGTAAGGTGATGTTACTGAATGCAAACCAGAGCTCACGACTGCTGGTGAGATTTTTCTGTCCAGGGAAGCGTGTTTGTGAGCGCTAGCTGGCCAGAACTCCGTGTCTTTATGCCTAGTGAGAACGAACAGCATTTGCCAGTCTTCTGCTCCAGTGACTGCTTTCCAGCACGATGCTGATGATGTTTTGAGTGAGGAGGGCAGAAAAAACTTCTGTGCTCGTTGTTGGCATTGCTCTTCAGCTTGTAGCCCTGTATGACTGTTCTTACCATGTACCCTCTCCACTAGAGAGGAAAACTATAGACACCCAACTTCTTTCCTTCCTACCCAGATTCTCCTTTTGAAATCAAGTCTTTTGTTAGGCCTGCTCTTGCCTTTCCCAGGTACTTCTGTAAAGCTGCTGTGTCTCCAGTTTTGCTCTTTCCATGAAGCTCCGAGTGCAGTTGTTCTCAGCCTTTTTATATTCTGAAGAACTATTTAAAAAAGAAAAAGCACTGACTGCTAAATATTGAGTTCAAACCCACTGACAATACGCTTGCTTTTCTTAATTACTTTCTCGGTAATTAAGGGTTGGTCCACGTTCTCCCAGGGTGGATCTTGCTCGAGGACTGATGAAACAGAGTAGGAGCAGGATGGGAGTTGATTTCAGAGTCTTGCGGCACAGGACTGCCCGCAAACTTTCAAGGCACTTCATAAAGCTACAGGCAGAAAACTGTACTTGCAGCTAAAGCTGTTGGAAGCATCTTCCAGTAGGTTTGTTTATAAATAAAACTCAGTTTAAGTTCTTGCTGCTGACTCGCAAGAGCGAAGTTTTATAAAACCTTCCTACAGAGAGGATCTTGTGTTTTGACGGCACAGAACTGGCTCTGTAACCTCTTTGGCAGAAGGCAGTCAAACTTCATCTGCTTGTCAGCCCCTCAGCCCGACACACATGGACATGCGCCCTCTCAGGTTTGCCTTTCTGTAGTACTTTTAGCGTGCGTCTTAAATACTTGCTGTTTTGTGTGCTTGAAGATAAGTAATGGAGTTAAGTGCATATCTGTTGTGCATAATGGCGATCCTAATCACATTAGTTTTACTTTTGTGTTTGTAAATATCCAATTAAGATACCAAGCCTGAATAACAGGAGAGAAATGTCTTTGTCGACTGAAGAAACTGGTATTACTGTCAAAAACATCAAAATTAATGTATTTTGATAAGAGAGTCTGTTTTTAAAACCTCCCTTTGGTTCTTAGACTGTACTGATTGCAGCCTGCTTAATTAGGAAACTTTATTTTGCAAATAAACCCAATAATCCAGTGAAAGTGATAATCTTTGTTGGTTTTTTTTTATTTATTTAAAGATTGATCTGAGAAGCAGTTTCCATGTTCGATTTGCTCACTGCTCCTTCAACTTGAGCTGAAAATACTCTTTGCATGTCCATCTAGTGCTCTATGCCAAAGGCAAATAATGCGGGTTTAGCCCTGTCCTACACCCCTGAAAACTCTTGACTTGTCAAAGAGCATTTATTACTGATTAATGTGCCAAGAAAATCTATTAGTAATAGTAGTACAGTGCCACTGGTAAAAACAGACCCAAAAACTTGCCTAGCCTGTGGGCGTCATGATGTGCTCCACAGTTCTTTCTGTCCCGTTCCCCACTTCCATTTTGGAAGGGGAAACACTGCATTTTGTGCTGAGCTAATGCTAAGCGTTGATGAGGTGAGGAGAGAGAAGGGGACATGGCTACAAAAATCAGGTACAGGGTCTTGCTGAAGCACCAGGGTTGTTTGCAGTGTTGTGTCACTGGTATTTTTCTTATCTTAAAACTTAGTCCATTTATAGCAAGGTCTTGAAGATGAGTGAATTTGGCAGTAGCCGTCGTAATTGTACAATCTTTGAGGCTTTACTTTTCACTAAATGTCTGAAAAAAGACGTGGTGACTTTCTCAGGAGAAAACAACCATCCATATGTGTTTTGGTGTGGTAACCAAGTGTGTCATATTAATGTTCAAAGAAAAATCTCTAAAGTTTAACCCATGCTGCTCACTTCGAACTGAAGTTCTGTTTTGCAGTGCTCTGAATCCAGCAGATAGAGTTTATGCTGGCCCTGGGCTACTTTCCAGAAACATGTTTAGTCGGTGGATGGCAGTGGGATTTCCTAGTGCTTGGGGTTCTGTTCAACCAGAGTTTGTCAAACTTAAATACTTGTATTGCTTACTCTTGGGTAGGTACCCTAGTATTTTCTACAGCTACTGATTTTGGACCCCAAGTAGGATTAAATGCCACTGGATGTGTCTAAAGAAATGACATCAGTTTTCTCATGCTGAAAATTACATTGTTTGGGGAACAAAAATGCCTTTCTTGTCACCCCAGCCATCTAGAAAGTGACAGAACATTTGCATTAATTCTAATTTCTTTTGTAATGTGGTAGCACTTTGTTAATTTTGGGATGTGCTCCCTGCTTTTACTTGCTGGCATTGGTAAACCTGTTTCAGTGAAAATGTTTCAATTTTTATCTTCCTAACTTTTTAAGTTCTAGTTTACAAATGCAGAACCTGAAGAATAGACTTCAATACCCGAAAACTGTCTATAAAACAACAATTCCCTAATGAATAAACGTGCTGTTGGTTCTCTGATCCTTGAATTGAAGTGGCAGGAAGGAGATGCACACCAGCGATGGGGGGAGGTGGTGTGGCCAGTTGCGAGAGCGGTGAAGAGGCGTTTTTGCTGAACTGGGATATCCAGAAATAGGCACATGCCATTGTTTAGATGTGCTGTGTTTAGCTCCTGTTACTTGTAACTCATTCGATCACTTGTGCTTGGTTCTCTCAAATAGTATTTAATTGCTTCAAGGACACTGAATTGGTCACTACTTGGCCAATGCGCAAGAATATATGAAAGCTTGCAAAACCTTTTTTATTTCTCTCTTCCCCTAAACAGAGCGTTTGCTGAAGATGACCTTGGAAGAAAGACGCAAAGAGTACTTAAGGGATTATGTTGCATTGAAAAGTATTCCGACGTGGATGGAAGACTTAAAAAGTAAGAGTGAAAGTGATGGTAAGTAAAACAGGAGAATCTTTTTAAGTATAGACCATGCTGTTTCCTCAGTCTGAAGTTACTTTTATGAGGGCCAAAACTTAGAACCCATGTTGTTGCTAACAGTGGCAGCCTAACATAGGGACAAGAGAACTTCGGCAGCGGGGAGGAAACCCCCCAAAAATTCCTTGAAGTCTCACTGGTGTCTGCTAATTCTGCAAGTATCCCCACAGTCATCGTAATACGGATACCCTTAAGCGTGTAAAATAGCTACTCTCTGCATGAGTCTTACTTTCCAAATACTTCAGCAGTCAGCCATGCCTAATGAACTTTATATTTGAAATTTAGCAAGCGTAACGGCATGGGGAATCTGGGCAAAATAGTGTTCTTGTAGGTAGCTGAAAAGCAGAGGGGAATTGGACAAGTTGTGTTGTTTCCTGAAAATCCAGAAATGGGAGAAGATTAGGTTTGAAGCCACTCTTATTTATTGTCCTGCCTGCTTTCTTGGGATGAGGAACATCAGCCTGGCCTGGATTAACTCTCCTTCTCTTAGTGTGTGCAGTGCTATCGTGGTTATAATCACCAGTAGAGTTGTCTAAATACTTGCAGTAGAGGCTGACTAAAAATGAGAATCCGATTCACTTGGATAGAGTTCTGTATGTAATTCTGTGACAGTGTCTCATTCTTTGTCTAGTTCTCTTTCATCTGCGTGAGCATGTAGAAGAAGAGAGACTTCTTCTGAGTTGGTTTCTTTCTCCTTTTTTTTCTATGTTTTGTTACCCTATTTGGCTGAAGCTTGTGGTTTTTGGAGGGGGATCTGGCTGTGAGACCTAAAGCATTTCTTGCTTCTGCACATATAGGACTAATTTTCTGAGGCTTTTGTTGTTATTAAGAGTAAATGGCTGTTGTTAACAGGTATGTAGAGTAATCTTATGGCTGCAGGTTAACATGGTCTTTTTGATAATACTCCAGGTGAGATGAGGCCTGGAACTAAATAGCTGTCTTTAATAAAATGGGAAAGCTGTAACACTTTCTTATACAATCTGGAGGAGCAGACAGATTTGCAGAGGCCATTGTCATAAACAACTAATGCTATCATCTGCTCCTAAAAGCATCTTTAATGACTTTTGAAGTGAAAATAAGTCAGAGGTTGTTGAGCTCTTCAACACTGATCAGTAGTTGTATTACAACAGTTACAGTTGTATTACAACATCCATAGACCTCTTTCTCCCATTAGAGTAGGTCTTTTATAGCTTAAAACATCAAGAAGCCTATCCATCTGAAAAACAAAGGCTGTATAAAAATAAAAAACATTTATCGACTTCTCCAAAGTTCATTTTTGGAGGCCTGTGGTATATGGGGATATGCACTATAATTGTGGTCTAACTGGGAGGTGCTTTATCCATTCTAGCCTCTGATATGTTTTTATTCTAACTACTCTCAAATTCTGTATAACGTGCTAAAATTCACAGCTCTTGTATTAGTTGGGCTGCTGAACATGACAAGGTGTGGATTTACGTTGTGATTGCTGTTGCACTTCACATAAGCAAAATGTCAGTGTCTAATGTGCGGGTATTGAATCATGGCAGCAGTGAATTTATTTTCTTGTAGCTGCTCCTGGATTCTTTCTGTTAGTACCCCGTACACTGCAAAAAATGCTGGAAGGCAAAAGTTGTGCTGAAACATTTCTCTGCTACTTGAAGCTTTTGTTATACTGTACATTCAGGAGAAAATACCCATAGTCACTTGTTTTCTTTGATGTATTTGTTGTAAATAAGCCATGTGGAATAGTGAACTTCTAGAAGGTTAGACTGCTGAAATGCTTCCACGTTTGAACTGATCGGTACAATTAAAAGAAATATATGTGTATATATATTAATGTGACTATTACTGCATCTGTTTCAAACTTCATATCCCTTAAATGTTAACCCCACTCTGAAGGTGTCAAAACTGTGCAAGAGCTGTCTTTCTGAGCTGGAATACTGAAAAATTAGAATTTAAGTTGTCTTGCCAGTGAGAACTTCTGCACTGTGTACTGGGACATATGCAAGGCAACTTGTACAACCTAAACAAGACTCTGGAGAGAGGAAGTGAAACCCTAGATATGATGAAATAGGTGAGACTTGACAATGCTATACCCAAGTTCTGATACTTTCTACAGTTTCTTGCAGTGACAAACTAAAGAGGTCTGAAGGTGTGTGTGTGGGGGAAATTCTCCGTACGCTTGACAAGCCAAAATAGCAACTGATGGGGAATGTGGAAAAAGTTCTTTACCATTTACTTCCAACACTGTATACAGTGAAAAAATGACAGATTGATTAGTCAAGTGTGGAGTGGCTGCTCAGGAAGAGTGATGAGGGGAAATCAAGAAAGGAACCAAGAACAAATAAACTGAAACAGGTGCAATCAATCAGTTGCTGGAGTAAGAAGCTGTAGGAGAAGGGGGGGAGCATCTGGGCTGGCAATAGTCCCTGTAGATACTCAACTGGAGATTAAGGAGATTAAGTACTGCACAAATTTTTGTACTGACTGTTAGGAAAAACTGCGTGAACAATATAAAAGCTTTATGGTACCCATTTTTAAATGAGAATGACTCACTGGAGGATCTAAGGACACTCCAGTTAGGCACACATTTTTGTTATATGGGAGTTAAAGGGAAGATTATTGAAAGGTTTGTGTGTGGAACTGCTGAAACTGAAATGACCTAAAAGGCTCATGTTGGAAGGGAGCCAACCTGACCTCCATGATACCTCTGCTTGGTCTTTATTGACAAGTTTGGAAAATATACCTTAGTTTGTGGAGGAAAGTGTTTCTTTCCCATTCCTCCTCCTCCACCCTTTGTTATGAAGCTGTGTTTAGAATTAATTCTGAAGAAAACTGGTACAGCTTGGATTAGGTTGATACTAAGGTAAGTTTTGGCAAGGCTGGAAGTCCCTGCAAGAGGGTTGTGTAGCAACGTAAAGGCTTATGAAGAGTGAAGTTAGGGAATTCTGAACAGCAGCTGACAAGGGCTTTGTTTTGTTTTTTTTTATAGCAGCAAAGGTGTTTGAAAACATTTGGAACCTGAAAGCAGCTGTGTGTAGTTTTTGTCTTTGGTTTGCTTTTCTGCAACTTAAACAAAAAGCTACAATTTTCGCAGGTCTCCTCATATGGACATGACTAGCCACGAGAGATCAAGTTGGTGTGTGTTTTGGCATGGAATTTGGTCAATGTTTCTGACACATTTTGATGTGGAGGGGGGGCACAATGTGGAATGCAGGGCCTAATCCCGGTGCCTGCTGCTCTGAACTCTGAGGGAAGCGAGCAGATAAGGGCACAAGCATTTCCAGAAGGACTGTGTTGTCAACACCTCTGGTTTTTGGTGTACAGTTTGCCAGGCTGCACAGGTGGACCTCAGAGATCAAGTATCATAACGCTGTCCCTTTTCTGTCCACTACTGTTGTTGACAAATCGGGGATGGGGGATGTCAGAGGGGATGGTAGGAAGGGAGAAAAATTCTTGTTCTTGAAGAAGTTCTGTAAACGTAAGCTTTCTTTGTTTTAACTGCATTTATTAAGGAAATGACTTGTCTGCTTTGGAAATGAAGAATGAGGCTGTCATACAGGGCTGGATAATACGTATATACTGTAATCCATTGTTCCTCCCACTTCTTATCCTTCAGATACACCAAAGGCAGGCACATCTCATCTGTTCTGTACTTTGAAGTAGAGTCCCTTCCTGACCACACATGAATAATGGACTTGTTTTCTGAAGCTTGGACTTTTGTATACCTTTATTTCATGCTATTTACTATTTAACACTAGTATATAGGCACTCATCCTGTCTAGCAATGGTAGCTTATGTTTTGTGATGCTTGATGAACAAAATGGCACCATGTAGATTAATAACTAGAGTGTATTTTGAAGTTAAATATGTACTTTTTTTTGGGTACACAGTTATTCCTGAAGATGTCTTTACTTTTCAGTGGAGAATGTGAGGTATGACTTCAGAAAACTTTCTCTTGAAAGCTTTTGAAAAATCAGGGTGTTGTTACTGAGTTTTGTGTGTCACTGGTGGAAAAATGTTTTGTTGCATTAATGGGATAATTCAAATAATTCAGAAAGTGGAATAAATTTATGTAGTTTAACTCAAGGCAGCTGACAGTCCTGCTGACTCTCACAGCCTCTGGTATTTGTTAGTATAGCAGTGGTGCCAAGAAAACAGCAAATTCAGGTGATGGTTTAAAGATCTTTTCTAACGGTAAGAACTACTTTTGGATGAAATTAAAAAGGAGGGACACAGTAACTGAGTTTTTTTATTTTTGTTTAAATGACATGAAAGGTCTGCAGTCTTTTTTTTTTTTTAAGCAAGTCTTGAAGTATGTTTAGATGTTTTGTCAGCCTCTGGATTTTCTTAATCTGCTGTATTTTTAGAAAATTATATGGTTTAAACTGTATTCAAATTAATCTACTTTAACACTGAGGGTTTTATGTATAATAGTAAGGTTTGGATTTAATAAAAACATCTCTGTGCTATGAATCTGTAGCTTTCTAAATATTAACAGTGAGTTGACACAAGATTATAGAGACAAAGCATCTAGATGAGCCACTCAAAAGGCTTCATGCTGAAAAGAAAGTGTGTGGTAATATTGAGCTCCATTGACCAGCGTTTCTTGAGATGGTTAACTAACCATGGGTAATACTGGGCTCTTCAGAGCAGCTCCATGTGGTCCCGTTTGATGTGAATGTCTGTCCTGTGGGAAACAGGAATCAAGGAACCAGGAATCATTACTTGGGAAAGTAATGCCACTACTAAGCTGCAGTGAAATTCAGCCAGACATTTGGAAGTGAGAAACAGCATCTCTCTAAACCACTTGTTCCTTTCAGTGAGTTATACAGAAAAGGGAATTATGTTCTACTAGAACATTGTCAAAAGTTGCCCAGCTATCAACCAGTTCTGTCTATAATAGCTATGTGGAACCAATATGCTTCAAGGCTATCCCCCACCAAAATAAAACAAATCTATCAGCTTGCATGATCCTT